AAGGACTAACAATAAATCATACAATATAATGATTTAGCATTCAATGATATTAATTATATACTAGCGTTAGAATGTATGTTAAAAGAGTAAAATGAAATAAAATAAATAAGCAAAACATATATGACTAACTGAATTAAAGGATCCCCGATCACTTGTGGACCCGTCACTCCTATTTGTTAAACTTGATCTTGATCTTCTTCGACTACTAATGCTTTCATCTCGTTCTCTTCCACCGGATCCACCGGTTTTCTCATGTCGGTAGCTAAAACTTGAAGAAAATCTCGGTAAACTTCCGGCCGATGAAGTCGATTTAACTGAAGATGATAGTGTAGCACCTCCACTTATAGATAATGGTCTTGCTGAAGAAGTAGTATAAATACTTCGTTGCTGTAAAGAAAGTGAAGATGGTGACCTGTGTAATGGTGAAGAAGATATACGATCGGATGATGTTGGTGATGGAAGGTTATCTGCATGAGAAGGTGAAGAAGAAAGGGATGGTGATTTAAAAGGCTGAACCAATGTTACATTTGGACGTGACGTTGGAGATGATGACATAAGATTATCCCGTTGCTAAATAGTGGAGATAAATATATTTATTACAAAAAAAAAAAGCGTAAAAAAAAGGCAGAGTTATTTATTATTATAAATACCCCACTACGAGATGTTGATAAAGTTGAAGCAAATGTTGAAGGAGGAGGCCTTGAAGGCGGAGCATGAATTTTTGGAAAGGTGAGTTCAGAATTTGAATATTCTTTCATGTCTGGGTTTGACTTTGGAGAACTCAATGACCGTAAAGGTGAAGTACCACTTAGTAATGTATTAGGATATTGTGGCGAATGCCCTGGAAAGAGATATCCTGAAGGTGGCGTCTATAAATAAATAAATATAATATATGATTAGTAAACGAAACAGCAAGAATTATTAGGTAGTTTTTTAATATTTAATTATTTATTTATATATTTATTTTTTGTTTTTTTTATAAAAAAAAAAGGAAAAAAACAAACATTCATGCTTGATGTTCGTCTTTCTTCATTTTCCATTTGCTTCCTTTGTTCTTGTTCTTGATAATATTTTGCTACTGTAGGTTTAAAAAATTGCTCATCAAAGTCTATCATATCCATCAAATTTGAACTCAAAATGCCTTCTGCTGATTCATCGATATGGAATTCACAATTTGATCGATAATTTACTTTTAAGGATAACACTCTATATATTATCAATGAACATATTAATATTAATAATCCGACTAGTTAAAAATAACTAAAATAATTTGTTAAAATATTTTTACCCCAAAGGAGTATCAATTGAACCAAATTTAAATTTTGAAGAAACATTTCTTGATTCTCCCTCTATTATAGGCACGTCTAAAATATAATTTTGTTAATTGGATATAAGGTTTGAAAAATTAAATTAAGATGTTTAAATTGAATCCTTCTAATGAAGATTACCAATGCCGATATAATCTCCATGATTAGTGCTGGGCAACACGAATCGATACCCAATTTTCAAAGCATTATTTAAATTCATTTTGATTCTTTTATAAAGTCGAAAAGCTGGAAGCAATCGAACATAAGCATACAAAGAACGAAAGAATGCAATTGATTTCTTATAAACAACAGGAAGATCAGGCGGTGGATCTGGTAATGGATGGCTATTTTATTATTGTTAAATAAAATACATTCATTAACAAAGTTAACAAAGTTTAATTCGTAAAAAAAAATTTTATAATTTAACAAATTTTAAGTTTACCTTAAAGTTAATTGCCAGCTTTCTAGTAAAATATTTTTTGATTTTCCATCTGCATTGTCACCAGAATTATGAATATCTACCCTACGTCTCTTTAAAATTTCGTCAGTTATGACAAGTATTGTGTCTTTTGGTAACTCAGATGTATCCAAAAAAAATTCTATAATCATAGGATGTGGCGGTAATCCTGTAGAAGATGTAACTGTATGCCGCCAATATTTTAAATCTTCTTTGTAGACATCTGAATCCCATATTTCTAAATTAAACTGATTATATTTCAATTTAAAAAAAAAAAGACATAAGTTTTTTTTTTTTTTTTTGAGGTAAAGAATATCATTGTATATGATTTAATTCATTAATACACTCTGCATTCATATCACAATTAACGACAGATGATATCAACATATAAAGTTCAATTGATCAAATTAATACGATTACTTTCAAATAAAATCGTTTATCAATATAATCCCACTACAATTTTCTTTAACTTACCCATTTGTTAGGCTTCTTTTGATGATGGGGCGTTTGGCGTGGGTGTAATGCAAGGTTTGCATTAGACGAAACGGTTCCGCTGCTTAAACTATCATATTGTATAAGACGCGCTTGGGTAATAATTTGAGCAACTTTGGTATAAAAATTCTACAAGTAAAAACCAAATAAAAGTATTAGGGAGTTAACATTCAATAAGTTTTAAAAGAATAAGTAGAGCATACCTGTACGATCTGGTCTGCTTTTGATTGGCGTGGAGTGGGTGTCTGAGAAGTTTGATTAGATGTATAATAAGGCAAAGCAGGAGGAGAGGCTGAAATTTGTGAGGAAGAAGTCGAGGAAGTTCTGTGCATGTCATGCGGCATCAAGTATTCTTTTTTTGGATATTATATTAAAAGGAGAAAGTATAAAAGAGAAGACTAAGTTAAAAACCTTACAGCGAGATCTCCATTTAGAAATTTAGTAAATATATTGGTGTATTATTTAACAAATGTTTTTATTCCTGAAAAGAAAAAATATATAAATAAATCGATTAGGGACGAAAGGGAGAAAACGGCTTTTTTAACTGTATTTTTTTTAGATATAAATAAACGAAAAAAGAAGGTATAACAATTAGAAAGTTTGTTTACTTTCCAAGAGAGTTTAGTTAAATATTACAACCCAATTTCCTTTTTTGCTATTTTTGGTTTGTAACTATAAGAATTTCAATACGTCAAGAATTGTATGTATGATAAAATTAAATTGATTGATTAGCCGATTAGTTTATTTTATACTTGAATTGTCTTTGGGGCAAAAATTTCAATTACATTTTCCGCGTAAATGCGAAGTGACCTGCCAAGAAAATATTCTAGATTCTCCGGAAATATTTCTCCTTAAACGAAAATTCCGATCCGATTTTTTTTTTTGGGAACATAAAAGCTGCTAGGATATTTTTGGCAATTTCAAGATTAGCTGAATAATAAATTTAAAGATGCTTGCGAGAAAGGAACTAAACCCAATATAACCATAATCATTTCATTTGATAACGTAACTGAATATCAGGCGATGATCAGCAAGAAACTTAATTTTAGTTTATTTTTCTTATTTTAAAATAATCTATTGATTTTTATTTATTTTAAATTTAGAAGTATAATTAATATAAAAAGTAAAGAATTTAACATTTTAACATTATATCTCTTTTTAAAATTTTCAAAAAATCATAATAATTATAATTACTTTACTTTATTAAGATAAATTTATATTTTATTAAAAAAAAAAAATTTTTACAAAAAAATTAATAAATAAATATATTTTTTTAATATATAATAATATTGATAAATAATTATTATTATAATAATATATAATAAACAATATATTTAATTAATTAGAATTTTATCATTAATGATAAAATATCTAATATTTAAATATATTATTTATTGTAATTTATTTATTTAAATATATTTTACGTAATTAATATTAAAAATAAGATATTAATTATTAGTATTATATATTAAAAGTTGAAGTTAAATTAGTATTTAAAATTTAATGTATAAAATATGCATATACAAAATTTTTAAAGATTTTGTATATAACTAAAAAATTTGTATACGTTTTATACACATAAAAATTTTGTATATATCTTTACACATCTCACAAATTTTATATTTATATATGTTATATATTACTGTACATATTATCTATATATGTGTTATATTTGATATTTTATATTTGAGTTTTTTTTATGCATCTGCGTAAAATACAAGTATATATAAAATATATGTAAAATTTTAAAATATAATATTTTTATATATAATATAAAACTTTTAAAAATTTTATTAAAATTTAAGTAATGCATTTTGATTTTTTGTATGTATTCCTATATTAATTAAATAAAATTAAATAAAATATTTTACAAATAATAAACTTTCATTATCAAATTTATCTAATAAGCAAATAGCAAATAACAAAATAATAGTTTTTGCCTTTCTAATGATTGAAGAGAGCCATATTAATTAAATATTCTAAATACTAATCATTATTCTTTCTTCTTTTTGATTAATATTCACTAGATATATAGGAGGAATTCTAAAAAAATCAGGTTCTGAAAAGTTTTTGATTAAAATTAAGAACTTAATACTTTTTAATCTAATAATATCAAAAACTAAAATGCAATAAAAATCTCAATTTTGTTAAAAAATTCCCAGAATCTAATTTTTTTAGCAATTAACTCATATAGTCTACTTTCATTGCATAATTCACATTTGCAAGTTTTGTTAACATTATTTTCTAAAGGTCATTTAAATCTTACATTATCTGGTGATCTTTCTTTTGGACACCTATTTTCACTATTAAGAATATTTTCTATATATGTATAGAAAAAAAATATACATAAATGCATTTTATGCAGAATATGCAAAATACAAATTTCCTTATATTTTTATAATTTTAAAAAATTATTTTATTAATTTTATTAAGTTTATTTACTTATTAAATATAATTAATATATAATTAAAATAAGGTTTACAAATAAAAATTTGTATATAAGTTATTTAACTAATATAGTTTACATATTTAAATGATATTTTATACATAAAATTTTTTAAAATTATTAATAAAAAACTATTTTTACTTAAAAATACTAAAGAAAATTAAACACAAAACTAAATTAATATATATAAAAAAACTCAAATCAAAATAATAATCTAATAGAAAAAATTGAATTATTATTACATTAAATCTAAAATAATTATTAATATATAGTATAAATAACTAGAATATTAAATAATTAAAGATATAATTTTCTTATATTTAGTATAAAAATATAAAATTTACCAATATAATGACTAAAAAAATTATAAAAAATACTTGATCATTATTTAAAATTAAAGGATCATTTAGTAATAATAAAAATGTAAAATAAAAATTAGAATAATATTGTAGTTAGATCTATAAATAGTATACAGTAATAATCATAAGTATCCGACTTCTAATATTTTCTAAAATCAAGTAATAATACTTATTAAATTTTCTAAAATTCAAATATAATACTGATATTAATTACATATAAAATTATAAACTTATATAACATATAAATAAGAAATTAAACAATCAATAAATTTTGACTTTAAAATACTAATCTTTTTTTTTTAAATAAATTTTCAATAATAACTGAAATGGAATTTTAAAAATATAGTTATTTTATATCTATTATAATAAGATTATAACTATTATTATATTTAAAAATATTATGAAATAAAGATTTTAATAATAAGAAAAATTATAATCTCTGTCAAAAATCCATACTATAGTGATTTTTCAGATTTAAGATTTAGTTAACTAATTTTCTTTTAGCAAAACCTAATATTAATTTTACATATATTATTTATAAAAGAGTCCTTTTGCTTATATCTATAAATTTTTTAGCAAAGATAACTAAAAGTAAAATTGATAAAAGTTAATAATTACAAATATCATTCAAAAAATAAAAAAATAATAATATAACTAAAATTTTTCTAATATCTATATAATCTGTTTAAAATTCTATAAATATATATAAAAATTCTTAAAAATTAACATATTAAAAAAAATCTATATATCTAAGAAGTTTAGATTGAATAAAGATAGCATTATAACTAATTATAACTGGTAATAAATAGTATTATAAAGTTACAAATAGTTAGGATATTAATAAAAATTGAGTTGTAACTAGTTGTAATTAGTAAAAAATAAGTATCATATTATTGCAATTAGTTGCTACATCATTTTTAGAAATTAAATAATAAATAATGATTTATAATTAATAATATTAAATATTATTAATATATATTAATTATCTTTATTTAATAAAATCACAAATTTATATTAATTCATAATCCATGAATAAAGTAAAGAAAATTACTAATCAAATTTAGGATGTTGATCATATGATTATATGGTAAATTAGTTATAATTCATTTTTTAAAATTTTATTTTTCTGAATTATTTGAAAAATTAATATATGTTTGAGCATGATGAGAATCTATTGAAGTTTTTGTTTTACTTACCTCTAAGAAAATTCATTTTCTTATAATAATATTATACCATTCATTCTAATGTCTTTAAATCAACATTAGATCTGCATTATGATAATGTGGATCATTATCAGAAAGAAAGATAATCCATTCTGGTTTAATTTTAAGTAACTCAATTACTACATATAATGATGAAGCAGTAAATCACATATCTTAATATAGATTAGTTGACCAGTGATCGTATACTTAAATATCTAATTTATGATTAGATTTTTATATATACAGTAGCGGTCATAAGTATCCGACCGCCCGAGATCGTCCAAAATTATTATATAACTACCCCTTAAA